GGTCAGTGACCTGAACTTAAAGACTTGCATCATATTTTATGCGAAAGAAGCTGAATTCTCCCACGACAGCACAATTCTTTAAACAGCTTGACCAGAAACGACTGCAGATCACATCCCTTCCAGAAAGCGTCTACCACTGAAGAAGATATCCGAGAGCTGAACGCCGAGGGACATATATGAGATACTAGAAGTGAAGCTGAGGCAGGAAGTGTGACTTCCCCAGTGAAAGCCCCCTAGTGCCCATACATACACACATCATATACACACACATCATATACACACATCATATACACACATCAAAACTAATGAAAAGTTCACACGCTGCATGGCGTTCATTCCATCTGCTCCAACCCCTGGTCACCAGCACACACACTCTCCAAAATGGACAGATTTGTAAAATGAAGGAGTGGACAGGGAAAAAAGACATTTTGTATCAGGTGTGAGATTGTTACATTGTGACCACACATCAGGTACTACAGCTGATCTCTGGTTACATAATCGCAGACAGATCAGACTACTGAATACTAGAATAAGGGATCATAGACCATTCTAGGGGGGAGATCAGAGCATGGCAGGCAGGAGAGGGTTAATAGAACAGGTGGGAAGACCCAGCGAGATCTCGGTGCCTCTTCGTACCTGTCCTAGTGACCCTTTCCTGCGTGCCATGCTCTGATCTCCCCCTAGAACGTACATGGAAGCCATGGGACGAGGATGACTAGTGTGTGATGCTTATCCTCTGCACTGACCTTTGGGAAGGCTCCTTCTCTGCGAGGGCTGCTGGGCTGATCGAACTGTCCTCTATCCAACATCAGATACAGGGAGAAGATCACCACACAGAATACAGCGCTGCCCAGGACTGTGATCTGCCGGCTGAGCTTCATGGTCAGCGGCCGGCTGGGGAGGAAGCGATCCAGGCTGAGAGATTAGGAGTCACCCCCGATACGGAGGCACCAGCCCCGGGGCACCCGCTCTCACATGCTCCGGCTCCACAGGTCACACTACAGTGACAGCGCAAACTTTCCCCTCCATAGAGCAAGCTCCCGGACAGCGCGGCTCTGGGACTTCCGCGCACTCGCCCCTTTCCGCTACAAAAAGAGAGTGTGGACGGCGGCTGCACCCGAAACACACCGAGTCGCTGCCTGCCACCTCCGGACACCAAACACAACTGCCAGCCCCGCCGTTCACGTCCCGCTTCCCCGGCCAGCGCTCTGCAACTCACTCAGCTGCCGAGTGTATCCATCGGGGGGTGGAGCTCTGCTAGGGGACGCGTCATTCTCTCACAGCCGTGCTGTGTGAGGGCGGTGACGTCACTAGTTCTGTCGGGCACTCGGACACGCCTCCCGAGGTTTGGGAGTTTTGGTGTGCGTGGTATGTGGTCCTCTAGGATGAGTGGGAGGGGGAACCCTTGGAAATACCAATGACCGAAGGGGGGGACCCCTGGACATACTACTGACAAGTCCTGGGCATAGCACTCACCTGGCAGGGGAACCCTGGACATACCAATAACTGCACGGGGGGACTAGAGCACATACCACTGACAAGACGGGAGACCTGGGCATAGCACTCACCGGGCAAGGGATCTCTGGATATACCAATAACTGCTGCACGGGGGACTACTGCACATACCACTGACAAGAGGGGGGGAAGCCTGGACATAGCACGGGGAGATGAGCATAACCTGACGTGTTCTCCATTCAAGCATATAGACGGGGACTTACTATACATGAAAGGAATGACTTCCATTGAGGAAATGCTGCCCTGTGACAAGGGAAGTAGAAGTCATGTGTCACTTAGAGGAAATTGCTGTTGCGATGTGCATACAGAGAAGAAGCTGGAGGAGATTACAGAGGGAAGGAAGCTGCCCATTGCTGGCTTGGTTTTAGAAGTGCAAGCTTCAGGGTTGTCACCTGCATTCAGGACAAGAGACTCAATGGGCTAGAACAAGCATGCAGGCAGTGAAAGAAGAACTCAAAAGCAATCTCCATTTACAATGTAAAGTCCCCTTTTCCAATGAAACTACACATCCCAAAAGGAATTTTACATTGATAAACGATGCCGCAACCGCTTGCCAAGCGTTTGGTACACAGTTACGCCATGGTACTATTGACTACAATAGGTGAGTTCGGCTGTCACACTCCACATGCCAGTGTAAAACTGACACTACAAAGCATCGCCACCGCAGCAATGTGTGCAGTCCTGTGCGGGCCATTGTCTTTCTGTAGATGGGCAGTAAAAACGGGCCCATGTGAAAGAGGCATGAGTCCCTTTGGAACGGATATTCAATACGTTTCCATTACCAACCCTGCTTCTCTGCCTGGAAAACTCCACCATGTCACAGGAGAGATGAGTGTGATTTGGCTCTTCCTTTGCACAAAGAGAACTTCACATCAATTGCAGCATGTTAAAAAAAAAAAGCACATCAATGAAATGAGTTAACCCCTTAGCGACCAGTGATGTACATAGTACTGGCAGCAGGTGAGTTCAAACAGGTTGTCAGCTTTACAATAGAAAAGATTCTGGAGGCTCAACTTCCGCCAGATCGGTTCTACGGGCCAGGCAGTAAAGTGCCCGACACTTTAGATGCCCCGCCTGGCATCTCTGGTGTCGGCGGGCAGCTGGGGAGGAGAACGGCCGTTCACCGATCTCCCCCCCCCCCCTTTCTATGGGACCGGGAGTGACATGTATTGCATCACTTCCGGTCCCTGAGCTGTCGGGTGCAGCTACGTACCAAAAGTAGATCATGCTACACATGTTGGGTAGTGTCGCACACACCAGAGTGAGAGCAATAATTTTAGGGCCAATATTTACGCGTATCTCTAAACTGATGACCTGTGGGGGCTCTTAAAAGCGTAGTCTATGGACTTTTTGGGGTACTGAATTTTGTCGCTGTTTCACAGACGCACACAATTATTAACCTGGGCATGTTGGGTATCTATTAATTTATCGTAACCTCATCTTTTATATTTTACATGAAAAATTGGTATTGTGTTTTGGGGCAGTAAATTTAACTTAAGTGCATTTTTTACAAAATGTTTGGGTTTGATAAAGAGTTGCGCTAATATCGTGCAACATAAAGATTAGCAACTGCCGCTATTGAATTCTACAGGGTCTTGGCTTTTAGAAAATATATAATGTTTGGGGGTTTTGAAGTAATTTTCAGGCCGAAAATGGGGATTATAACGTGTGCAAAAAAACAAAAAAAAGGCATTGGCAGCGAAAGGGTCCTTAAGGGGTTCAAAATGCACATCAATGTGTTAAAAAGGCAAAGGGTGGCCACACCAAATATTGATTGGATTTGGATTTCTCTTCTGTTCATTTACTTTCTATTTTGTTCATTGATAACAATAAACTATAAACACTTTGATTTGTGAAAGCATTCTTACTTTACAGCATTTTTCACACCTGCCGAAAACCTTTGCACAATGCTGTATACTAACATAGTATTACTTTACATTTTTTACCAAACACAGCCATCATGTCTCTGAATAGCTCCAACTCTCTTAGCTCAGCTTCCCTGAACTTCCTGTCCAGTACAAGATCACCAGGCAGAGCTGACTCCAGCAACTGAAGTCTAAAACATCATCAGGGCTAGTTCTCAGGACCAACTGATTCTGCAGGAAACAAAACTTTTAAACATCAAGAGACGACATCCATTGTAAGTGATTTTATCAACATTTGAAAGAGCATAACATTTAGACTTAAAGGAGAACTATGGGGTTAGGGCTTTTCCCCATAGTTCTCCTAAGGGTAACGGGAGGACACAAACTAGCGTCCTCCCATTACCCAAAGCTCAATATACCGCGAGCTACAGCTCGCGGTATACTGAGACGCCGGAGCGGATCCCGACGTAGATGACGGGATCCGCCCAGCTGCGTGAGTGACAGCTGGTTCTGCCTTTCTAGAGGCAGAGCCAGCTGTACCCGCCCCGTCCGTTCCGCCAGTCAGCGCTGGAGGATCGGAAAGGTGAGGGGGGGAATCCCTGCAGGGAGCCGTGAGTGACAGTCATGGCTCTCTGCAGGGATAGTTTGAGAAGTGAGCGAGCGATGCTATGTGTTCGCTCAATTCAGGATTTATTGAGCCGCCGTGTGACAGTTTCATTGTCACAGGTCGGCTAGAACTATGAGGCTGAGTGATTTTCACACGCCTCATAGTTCTCTTTTAATTTAAAAAAAGAACCCCCCTAATTTTTTTCCATCCCCTCTTAACTGTTTTGCAGGGTACTCTTCAAAAACATACTCGCCTGCCCAGCATGGCCGTGCTGCAATCCGCTGCTCCACTGCCACACACCGGGTCCCATGTCACCATCTTCTTCTCTGACATCTCAAGAGCCGGCTGTCGGTTTTGGGTTTGTGCCCCCAATGTAGTGCCACTGTGTGACCCTTTTTCTGCAGCCCCCTGGGATATGTGACAGGGAGCTAGGGTCCACTTTAACACTGAACTGCAGGCAAACAGCTAAACAAACAGATGAAATACATACTGTATATGAGAACTGTTTTCATACCAAAGCATTAATATTTCTCTCTATCCAGTCCTGATATTTACATAGATGTTGCAAACAGACCAGCCCTGATTTTGTACCTGATTTTCCTCTGCTGCAGTACAGTAACACTTACAGGTTTGTGAGTCCTCCAGTTTGTGACTGCACAGTCAAAGGAGCAGCAGACAGATGAGCTAATCTCTCTGTCACTCTGTTTTCTCCTATCAGCATGCTCCTTGCGCTACAGCAGAGCTGATTGGCTCCTTTTGCTGTGTGTTGCCCCCCCAGTTGGAATGCTGTTGTAGAGGGGAATGCAAAGAGGCTGATACCAGGTCAAGGTTAAGTACTTATACCACTTGAATTAAAAAATTATTATTATTTTAATGATCCATTAATGAATACAGAGCTCCATTACAAGAGAACTATGGCCAAACCTTTTGTTTGAAAGTATATTTAATAATGTCCTCCTGTGACCCAAAACACGCATATAGCGAGCAACGCTGACAGCGCAGAGCCACGCTGCAGCCGGGAAAGATCCTGTTGATATTGTCTGGACCACCCCGCTGCCTGATTGATGGCTCTGCCTCTCTAGAGCCAGAGGGTGCTGTGCCCGCCCCCTCCCCGTCTGTCTCTCCAGTCAGCGCTGGAGGAACAGAGAGCGGAGGGAATCCCTGCCGGGAGCAAGATCATGAACTGAGCGGTATGTGATTGCTCAGTTCTGGATCAATAGAGCCGACATGTGACAACTGCAGTGTCACACGTCGGCTCTAATTATTGGGATGAGTGTATTTCACTCACCCATGGTTCTCCTTTAAATTGTGTATTTGACATCTACTTGGAATTCAGCTTTAAAGGACTTCTAAAGCCACAGCACATACTATCCTGTTATAACATCAGCATTGGAATAGGAATACATACTAGGGTTGTCTTTGAGAATGCAATCAAAGCTTAACTTTTATGTAGTGAGTGATGTCTTCTGTCTGCCTATCACTTTTAATAGCTTTCTGGATTCCCAGTGTGCTTTGCATCTATTTCCCTCCTGCAATCTCAGTTTCTCAATACTACATGTCCCATCATGCATTGCTTCCAGCAAGCAATGATAATGTTACATTAGTTAGACGTTGAGTTGTAGCAGAAGACAGGCTATGTGCATATTTACAGAGCTGAGTGAAATTGTGTCAGTGCATTTGAGGAAGTACATCCTAAGGGCATCCTCAATAAGTAGGTTTACAAACTTCTAGGTATTAGGAGTGGGATATAACGTATGGATAATCAATATAGCGATACAAATTTATTTTTACAGGGTTATTCACAAAAGGGTGACGAGTTTGGAGAAGGCAGGAGAAGTGAACTATCTAGGACAGGGGTCAGCAACCTGCGGCTCCGGAGCCGCATGTGGCTCTTTCATCCCCCTGCTG